ATCAAAAGGGGGCAATAAATGCATGGGAAATTAAATTAAGGCAATCCACAGGACTGGAAAAGGAAAACTTGTGTTCTGAGTGTTTGACTAGTCCTCACAAACAGCAGTGTAGACGTCTGGAGGGGGAAGGTCTTTGAGTAGGAAGGCCCAAAGTTTAGTGTTAGTCATGTACTGGTCATGACTTTGTTACTGCTAAATAACTTGGCACATCTCTTAGCTAATGCAGGCATTATTTTTCTTGTCTATAAAAATAGATTATATATTTCAAAATAAAAATAGAAAGAACAGAGAAGAATGGATTGGAGTGACAGCTACAGTCTTATGGTTCCCTGCCTGATTTTAATTATCTAACTTACAAAGAAAGACCATAATTAGAGTTGCTTATGGCAGATTCTTTGTATTCAAAATGCTGTCAAAAGGGTAGGGTATATTAAGATTAGAGGACAGATTCTTGAGAAAATACTTTAAAGGGGGAAAGTCGGGCTGTTGGCTGTTATTAGCTAGAAGAGAAATTTGTTTGGGCCCTTTGAAAGAAGGGGTATCTTAGATTAAAAAAAAAAAAGAATGATGTAGAAAATATAATTAGGTACTGTAAAAGACCCAGTTTATATACCTCATACCTCCCAGATTGCTTGGTCCCCACTCCCCACTCCCAACACACATACCCAAGGACTTGGACATTTGTTCCATGGAGAGCCTCAGCTGCCACCACTGTCTGGTCTCCCAACACTGTGGGAGAGGGGGCAGATTTTGACATGGCTTCCCTCATGCTCACTACAGTAGAGCCACAATAATTCTGGTGCCCAAGTCCAATCCAACTGAACTCATGGCAGTTCTGGTTCCTTCTACCACTTCCAGACATAGATATAATGCACTATGGGTTCTGTATTTGGTTTCCCCAAAGGGCTTGGAAACACAACAAGAGCAGGGTGGGAGAGTTAATTCTCCATGGGGTAAACTCTGGCCAATGAGAGGCAGTAGATGGGAAGAAACTGGCAAATTAATCCCTCCTATATTCCCCTGCTGGACTGGTCTACGCAGGGGTTCTGTACAGCTTCCTAGGTGATGTTCTGCACGACCGACATGTCAGTTATGCTTTCTCAAGAAGCTGTAGCTAGCTTGGTCACATGCATCTTGTATTTACTTTCCCTCCTTTACTTTATCACTTCCCTTCCACTCACTCTTGCTTCCCTGAGGTTGTATTCCCAGTATAGTCTTTAGCAAATAAAGTATTAGCACCTAAGCTTTACTTAGCGTTCTGTTTCTAGAGAACCCAGTAAAGACAGGAACATACAGAGATCCTCGTCAAGAGAAGTTGGAAATGACCATCTCTTTTTTTTCTTGTATTTCTCATGTTCCTTGAATCAAATCCGGAGGATGCCTCTTACCTCATCCTAGTCAGACTGCCCTTTTAATCTCCTTTTTGGCTCATTTATCCATGATGATGCAAAAGAGGAGAGGTACCCTTGATTCTTTCGCTACCTAATTATGTCTCCATGCCCAAAAAAGGCAGGACTTGCATATTCTGGGAACTGCCTAGTCTCCTCTAGGCGTTCAGAATAGCCAGACTCAAAGAAAAACCAGAAAAATAAGCATGAATGAAGGTCAAACAAACAAACAAACAGATTTTGTAGTTGCTTGGGGGAATTGGGCATATGTTGACACATTAAATTTGAATATGGCTCTGAAATGTTGCTGAAATATTAAAGTTCCTAGACTAAGGAACTCTTGGTATATCATCCTTCTGTGAACTAATAACCCCATCACTCCATATATTTGCATTTATAGGATCATTTCTGTATACCCTTAGCAACACTCTCTGATGGTTACTGATACTCACTGAGCATTTACTATGCACTTCTGATTCATAATCGCGCTTATCCTTATGAAACACAGACTAAGTAGAAAAATCTGATATTCATTCTGCAGAAGAGGAAACTGTGACTTGGCGCAGCTTGCCCAAGGCTTCACGATCATTGATGTGGATCTCACACTTGGAATGCAGATCCAGGCTTGTCTGGAGTCCACATGCTGAACTACCTTATTTGACCACTTCCTGTGTAGCCAGGGCTGATAGATCAGGTAAGGTTACTATTTCTGCTACTAGATGGTGATGTTGGAAGTGACAGCTTAGCAGCCAGTGGTTTCCTTAGGGAGCAGCAGCTTGTGGAAACAATTTCAAGATACAAACCCGTGATGTCTTAATAAGTTCCAGATATAAATTGGTGAAGCACAACATTTTAACACTATTTCTCTATAATATCAACACCAGGCACTCTAGACAACAATGATATCAAGAAAACAGGTAGCTTAATTTAACAACAACAAAAAAATGAGTTGAAGTCAGACAGACCGAGGTTTCAAAATTTGCTTAGTCTGTTACTTCCTGTATGATCTGGACTAAGTTGCCAACATTCCTTTGAGTTTCAGTTTTCTCACTGATAAACGGGGATAAAAACACAAACCATGTAGGGTTGGGAGAAACTTTAATGAAATAATGCATTTAAAGTGCTTACAACACCATGCTCGACCCTTCATAGATGCTCAGGAAATACTGATCCTTAGTCACTCCCTCCATATCTCCATGCAGCCGATCTTCCTTTCACATCTATTAAGTCATAGTGTACAACCAAAGAAACAGAGATGACTTACAATAACTTTACAAATGAGAAAGCTGAGAAGGGATAGTGATGCCTCCAAAGTAATGCCTATTTTAACAAGAAGCAAAGCTAGATGTTCAGGCTCAAGTGTGGTTTGTTTTGGGCCACACCAAGCTACTGTCTGATTTCCTTGAGTTAGGAGTTCTTAGTTTAAGAACTGGCATCCTCTAATATATTTGCATATGCCTTTGGAGCTTTATCAGCGTTCATTCTAGTCTCATCAGTTCTGTGTCCACAGCTTGGCTGCAAACGCCTCACAGTCTTGCTTGCTGCAGCAATGACTTCAAGTTTATCTTAACATGGAGTACTTTCCTTATTATTCATTNCATCCCTTTCTCTCTCCCCAGAGACTCGAAATTTCTGAGGATATGAAAATCTAGCTTCTGAAGTTGAAACTCATTTACTAGGTTTTCCTTGGGAGTTGGAAGAAAGAAGACTGGACTTAGAAATCTGGGTGTTCCAAGAGAAGCTCCCTGGAGAAAACTCTGATGTTGTAAGAGATATATCTTTTCCTCACTAAAGAAAAGCTGAAATTAAAAAACAAACAAAAAAACCCCTTCCCACCCAAACTAAGCACTGTAGGAGGGTCTTGTTCATTAAAATTTTCACTACAGCTCATGAAAAAAGTGCCAAGACTTGATAGAATAAAGGAAAAGCAGCTTTAGTAAATAAAGGGCAAAATAAAAATCCTTACTCTTCAGCTGTAAATTCAGTGAACTTCACAAATTGTTTAAGATGGATGAGGAAAAACCAAACAGCAAAAACAAAATCCAGTCAGCCTCTAATAACTGACCTGGGAGGCTGATGTCCCAGGTCAGGTTCCCTAGAAACAGAGCCTGATGCACACAATTGATTAAGGAAGCATTCTCAGGAGAAAAGGGTGAGGGAAGCAGGATAGGACAGAGAAAGGAGGTGAGCAACACAGTGTTTCAGCTTAAGTCTAGCTTCAGCCTGATCCCATGAGGAATTCAGAGCATAAACTGTGCCCCATGGTGCTATTTCGAGGCAAGGGTCCAACTCTTTGTACTCTACCTGCTGCACAGGGGTGTGTAGAGACTCACCTTTCAGGTGAGGTAGCTCTCATTGACCAAGGGCAATTAATCAGTGAAGGGGGACTCAACAGCTGGAGGATGCGGGAACCTGGCTGGAAGGGGGAGTCTGGGTGGGGCATAGTAGCATCTGCTTATAGGAAAGTTTTTCCGTTTTTAGTTAAACCAGAACATGTGGATGCATTTTTCTTCCATTGATCCATATTTTACTAAGAACTGATGGTAAGTCAGACTGGGCATTGGTTCTTAAAGACAAAAGCTTGGCACTGGAGCTTTAAAAATTCATAAACACCATGGTTGGCCCAGCTGTGGTCTGAAGGAAGGAACTGATTAGAAAGCCCCAAAACATGAGTAAACTTGTCCAACAATGCTTGCAACTCTGGCAACTTTAAGAGTGTTAGAAGAAGATAATCCAACTCTCCCATTCTTTGGTCAAGCAGAAACACACGGCTCACTTCTATTGATACTGAAGAATTAGCAATATTAGATAATGTGAGGCAAGGAGCACTCTCCAGGAAGGCTTATGAAGAAGAAATACAGTAATATGAGAGAAAGAATAGGACTTTGATTCAGTGTTGTTTCATATACATAGGGCATGAAGAAAAAAGTAGATGCAAAAATGTTCTGAGAGCTCATTTGCTGTCAAGTGCATACAGAATGGAAAGGTTGGGAAATTCAGGGTTATCTGAGTGCCTTGAAACTTAAGAGCTAGAATGGAGATCTGATATTATAAAATTAATAAACATCCCTTTTCCACCCTTCCCTCATGCTCGATACCTTCTTTTCTAAGTTCATCAGATTTTTGTTCAAGTTTTTCAATATCATCATCCAATCCATCTGAAAATAAGAGAACCACCTAGGGAAGTATTCAAAAAAGAAAAATGAGTAAAAAGGAGATCATTGCAACCATAGACCAACAAATAAAGTGAAACCAAGTTACCTTTCCACGAGCAGCCGATTTATTTTGAAATGCATCCCACAGGGAACTCAAGAAGTTTGCATTGAGAAGAGATGGTCCTTGAACTGTTATATCATTCAAACTGTCCAGAATATTATCACTGTAGATCTCAAATTTGGGGGAATATTTTTCCATGGCATTGGTTACTTGAAAAGCTATGCTAACCTGAGTGTCTTTGCCCACCTTACAGCTAACCCCATTGAGGGAGCTGATGGCACGTAAGATGTCTTGAAGGTAGGTTTCCATCCAGGGCTGACCATCAAGCAAAATCTGCCCATTCCGCTGAGTTGAGATGTCAAATCCTACCACAACGTCCACAAAACAATCTAGGATTCAAGGGAAAAACATACCTTAATAGATCAACAAATCCATTTATTTGACTTGGATGCCATATCTGAATCAAGTTACAAAGTTGGAAAATAAGAGTATGAGGAAATAATGGAAGAGGCTCAGAGTCATTCTTTTATAGCATGTAAAAGTATATATTTTTTAGCTAGTATAAAATCTAGATGATTCCATAACAATTAAAGTTCTGAAAAATTTTATTGTGGCCATTGAAAAAGCTATGCAGTCATTTAAGTATCTAAAGTATATTGTGGAAATGTTAATAGCCAAATATAGGAAATTCATATCCTGCTACTTATCAATTGAGGTCATTCAACAAACTTGAAATTATAAAATAAATATAAAAAAACATTTGCATAAAGTCATTTAGAAAAAAATAAATCACAAAGAACTTGTCTAAAGGAATGATTGTGATGATTTACCTTTCTAAAAATAATCTGATTCCCCTTTTTGTCTTCTAACACCCACTCAGTAAAGAAAAAGTAAAAAGACAAGTAAATATTCCAAGAGATCCTTTGACATCTTGCTTGGATTAAGTCCTCCTATAAGTGAAGAAACTGGGCACCAAATAACCCATGTTTAACTATGCCAAAGATGGTGATGTCTTCAGAGCTCAGCTCCTCAGGAAGCCAAAGCCAATGCCACTCTGGGGTTCAAAAAATACTTAGAGAGGTATTGCATTTAAAATGCTTTGTTTTTATCCTTATTAACTCCAGGAACATTTAAGCACTGGAGAAACTAGAAGGGTCTTGATATTTTAAGCTGAGCCTCCTAGAGAAGATAATTAGAGAATGAAGTCATACGGCCTATAGACTCTTCTTTCAAGGATAAAAAATTCAAACATTTTCCAGCAAATTCAACAGCTTGCTTGGTAAGTTAGGGAGGAGGAGTGTAATGTTTTTAATTTGCTTTCTTTAGATAAGCAGTTTCTCAGATATTTATCATATGGACAAATGCCTGCCTCCACTACCTCCAGACACACTGGACAGTTGAGCATTTGCCTGTCTTTGAAACCAAAATGTCAGTTTCAATTCTTAAAACAAGGGCCAGTAGCTTGATTCATTTTTAGTGAGAAAAGACTCAAGCGAGGGACAATAAAACCTTATTTGATAATCAATTTTCACTGTGACATTCAAAGTAAATCAATATGTTATCAAAAAATCTGAAAGGCAGGTTTTCTTAGTTTACTATACTTTATTGGAAAATGTCTTCCCCAATATTCAGAGAGTGAGATGAAGAAAAAGGAACTAGTCAGAAGGAAGCATGAGANAAGGAAAAACAGACTGATGGATGGAAGGATGGATGGATCCAATAAAGAGTAAGGTCACTGAGAAACAATGTGGTGAGTTGGTCTACCTGGGCAAAGTGAATCAGAAAGGGGGAAATGGCAGTGGCTTCACTCCCTTGGTGAAGAAGACAACTTTTGCATTGAGTTCATTGTGCAGTGTTGGTGAATGATAAAAGAGGAGACACTAGGTTAATAGACCACTAATAATCACCAGAGGCAGAGCCTGATGAGGAATAGGAAAGGCCTCTGATTTTTGCACATATATCCTTAGAATCTGACTTTTCTTGTGTCTCTGAATTGGCACAAATTATTTCATATTGTAGATATATTCTTAGGAATAAATGAAGCTGAAAAAAAAACCTTGACTTACAGCAATGCCTTCCTCTCCCCGATGGCCTGCACTGCCATTAAAACCTTGGGGTCCCTGGAAGTAAGGAAAGGAAAAGTACATTAGCACTTCATAGAGCAAAATCCAGAGGTAATCAAGCAACGTTCTTCAACTTTACAGGTTTACTTTATTTAGAAAAGTAAGAGTTTGAAAAAACTTAATTCTCTGCCACAACCTAGGCTGCATTTATACACATAAAAATAAATGGAATTTTTTTTAATTCAAGTTTATTGGGGTGACAATTGTCAGTAAAGTCGCATAGGTTTTAGGTGCACAATTCTGCAATACATCATCTATATATCACATTGCGTGCTCACCACCCAGAGTCAGTTTCCCTTCCATCACCACATATTTGATCCCTTTTGCCCTCATTCAACCCCTCCCCCACCCTTATCCTTTGGTAACCACTAAATTATTGTCTGTGTCTATGAGCTTTTGTTTCTTCATATAAAAATAAATAAATAAATAAATAAATGGACTTTTGAGAGAAGTACCTAGATAGCTCAAGGGTGTGTGGATATGTGAATCATAATGTTGTCCAAGAGTTTCTCTGGGGTTATATAAAGTGCTGGAATTTTTACAAACAAATGTTCAAATTAACACAGCTATTTTTTCCCCTGACAAACTAAAATTATCTTCTTTTCATTAAAAAAAATCTTTCTTTAGGAATTATGCTACACATAGAAAAACAGACCACATGCATTTCTTTCCATTCTTTCTGAGCCCTGTTTTTAAAAAAATTCTACTACTTTTTTAAGTGAAGTAGAAGCATTCAAGAAATAATTAGTCCAAAAACATTTTTCAGAGACACGGTCATGGTAATTTGGGAATTACAGTTCTATCTATAAATTATTCAAAAATCAAACACACACATAAACAGTATTCAAATGACTATTAGTATGTTTGTACATATTTGAACATTTTCTAAAGCTCCAAATCATATTTTCACATAAGGATGCATAAGCTTCTTTTGGTTAGGAAATATCTGAATTTGTTGTTGGTTCCTGTTTTCATAATTGGTCTGTTTTTGCCTATACATCTGTGATAACCTTTTGGTCTGGCTAATGCTGAATGAAACATCTTAACCTCTTTTGCTATGATAGGGTAATCTGATCTAGCTGGATTTTCAGCAGACTACACAAAATATTCCCTACTTTATTTAAATGACTCTGCAGTCATTAAAAATAGAAATTGAAATGACATTGGTATTCAGGAGGTTTTCATTATTTAACATGAGAGATGACAACTGATTTTCTGCATCATTGTCATCATAATCAAGGATCTGCAAGAACACTGGATAATCAAGGATCTTGGCAGTGGTTTCTCCTGAGACTTGGATAAAAAATTTTTAGAAAGACTCCAATTTAGAATACTAAGGAAAAGCCATGACTATCTAATTTGACATATAAAAAGACAAGTGTAATAAATGGTTACCTCAGAGGCTTCACCGGGCAGTTAAAAATCACCCCTTATTTCTACCTAAACTCATGTCTGAAAGACATACTACATTCAAATACAGCAAAGCCATAAATCTTAAAATCACCTTTTTCCCTGCTGGTCCAGGATCTCCCATTGAGCCATCTTCTCCAATACATTTGCAGAATAAACAGCAGCACGCCCTTTCAGCAACATTGACCTTGGAGGAGGACAGGAAATACACTACACTTGATGGCATTGCATCCCAATCACATACAAGCTCACCAGGGTGATTCAGACTTCCATCAGTTTCAGAAGCCTGTTTACTATCAAAGTGACGGTGCTCTATAGAGAATGCATGAGACGTTCTTTAGCCTTCCACCTTTCCCTCTATGATCTGCATTCTCTAGCATATGAGGAATTGAGAATCAATTCAAAGATGTTTTTGTGTTCTCAAAATGGTATCAGTTTAGCCATGGTCAACTCACTGCATACTAACTTAATGTGATTTCTCATTTCCACCCCATCCCAGCATTGACCATGGTGTTGTTGATCACCCTATACAATTTTACCCCCAATATTTTGTTCAATAAAGTGAATGCATGCTGTTTTCTACATTTCTTGTCTTGTGAACTCTTTGTATGCTAGAGGATTTAGACGGTACTCAGTGTCACACTGCTTGGAGCTGAGTCCAATTGTAAACAATTCCAGAGCAGTTTGTGTGTGATGAGATTTCAAAAATACCAATGACATGTTCAACATTTCAGAAGCATTTGCTATAGAGGGTGGGGG